GGGGGGGGGACTTCCTGTTTCAATTCCTGGGCTTGGGAATCTTTTTTCCCTGTTTGAAGAAACTTAACGTAATTTTCCTTTGACTGGGTTTCTTTATGCCGTATATGACTTCGTCAGTGGCTACTTCTAGGAGATTAAGCTTCTAGATTGAAGCCTAACACAGATAGCTTTTTCAACTTTAGGCAGCTATAAATAAGGTTATTAATTAACTTATGAAAGTATATTATTTTCTTTACCTTAAAACACTTATCGTTATTAACGATACTTATGTATTACCTTCTAAATACCTAAGTATGTTGGCTTAATATAACCTTTTGATATCATAAGCTTGAGATAGGCATTGCACTAAAGTCTCCATACTGATTACCGAAAAGAATCTGATGCCTCGTTCCATTTCTTTCTTGACCCGACCAAAACACAGAGTATCAAGCTTATAACTCACTGGCTTCCCTCCTCCTCGTGGCTTCGCTTTGCTTCCACGTGTTCATGATGCTTGAAGAGTCCAAGGAATCCCAAGTCATAGCATACCTTTAGAGATCCAGCCATGATGAAAGAGACCCAGAAATAGTTCGAATCCGCCAGCAGTCCTGTGATGAGAGGTCCAAGACTCTGAGAAGTTGTCTTGGCTACGTTGATAAGACCAATGACGACTGTTCGCTCCTTTGGTTTAATTATAGCGGCGAGGAAAGCTGAGCGGGGTGCAACATCCATTGACTGAGTGCAAGATCGTAGAATCAGGAAGAGAACCGATAGGTGGACATCGTTGGGGATGGGGACCAGAGCCAAGAAGACCGCTGATGGAAGGTGAGTAAATACCATAGTCTGCAAGTCAGGTCAGTCAGATAATTCATGCTGCTATCATCATTGGCTTCTTACTCGAACATTGCCAAACCGCTTGGCAAGAGAAGATGCTACCAACATCGATGCAGCGGCGATGATGCTCGTGGTGAAAAAGATAGAACCTAGCTTCCCTTCCTCGATATGGTAGTAGGATTTGAAGTAGTAAGTGATCCATGAGCTATGGCGACTGTTAGCTCTCGTATAAAGATGATCTGTTGAGTCAAAGTACTTACAGAGGAGCCAGTCCTGAAGCAAAGCTGTCCAAAGCTAAGAGAGTGCAAAGGGTCACGACAGTCGGGATACTGTCACGAGAAATTCGAGCTCGAAGTTGTTTCTTGGGCTGAGGCTGATCGGCGCCTTGGGCTTGAGCGTTGTCGGGAAGCAGAGGTGCTTGTTCGCCGTTGTCCGCTGGAGATCCTTGCTCGGTCTCATGGTGGACTTCGACTGCAGAGCTCAAGATGATGGCCGAGATCAACTTCAGGACTCCCATCACAGAGTATCCATAGAAGACGTCACGGTACACTTCAACAACATCCATGCCGAGATTGACACGCATGTGATGAATAATCCAACCGCAGGTTAAAAGACCAAAGGCGCCGCCAGCCGTGCCGGAGAGACTGTACCAAGCGTAGACATCGCCTCGCCGAGCTGCATCAGTAAGATGGGCAATGATGCTCTCTTCAACGCCGCGGAAGGGTCCGATTTCGTTGCCACTATCGATTGTCAGCTTCAACACCATCAAAACATTTTTCTTTGTCTTACCCAGGACTGATGACACCCAAGATTGCAGCAGCAAGTAAAATCCAGTAATTGCTAGAGGTGGCAAACACAATTCCACTCGCAGTCATCAAGATTGCTCCCAGGGCCAAGACTGCGCGTCGACCAACACCATCAGCGAATAGTGCAAGCAGGAAGCTGATGATGATATCACCAACCAACGTCAAGGTCATAAACAAGCCGACACGGGTTGTCGATACGCCGAGTTCTCGCAGGTATGCTACAAGAACTAAGGTAGATCCACCATAGGCAAAAAGACGGATGAATCTCTGTGCGCAAAGGATCTTGACATCTTTGCTTGATCGATAGAGTGATACAAGACCAAGTTCTTCCAAGACTTTGTGGGCGAGATGACGCCTCGAATGGGGCTCCGTGGGTTCCGACATAATGGCAATTAAAGAAAATATATTTCCAACTGTCTATCAAACGTGCCAGAACATTAGCAAGAGAATTCGTCTTTCTTGGATCTCAGCACCGCCAAAAGTTTATATATATGTCTACCTCCGAAGTTCCGAGCCGATTTTGACCCAGTGTAAAATCCAGGGTAGCTGAAGCGAGCATAAATCAGCTTGATATTGCGTCATCCCCAGTCTTGGAAGAGAGTTTACCAGAATAACCATTGTGATTGGTGGTTTGACTTTGTCAGCGTCGGTTTTCCGAGCTTCCCGTGCCAAAATTGGAAAAATCTTGGTCATGGGTATATAAATGTTAATTTTGCTCCACGTGATATCGAACTCACTACAGCAGGCTTTAGCCTGTTTCGTCTTCCGTAGTATAGTGGTCAGTATGCAAGCTTGTCACGCTTGAGACCCGGGTTCAATTCCCGGCGGGAGAGTTCCAGCCAGCTGTTAAAAGCAGCAATTCCTTTTTGACCTTTTTAATAATTATATATTTACTTCATACAGTGATTAATGCGCCTCTGGCTGGTTCTTAAATAATATTGTGGTGCGATCCAGTGGTGGACAGGTTTGATTTGTTTTTACGGCGGATTTTTATTAATAACTTCCTGGCTTCTATATGATACCGCCAATCCTCTAACTATAATACAGATGGTAACATAAGAAGACTCATGCCAAAGAGAGCCGGTCTCAGAGTTGTCGACAGCGCTTACTTATATAACGGCTTCGAGCGCTTTCTCAATACGGAACAATACTTCTCAACAGCTTGTTCGGCCGGTTTCGCTCTTGAATCTTTGTCACAATTGACGTAGCAACTTTAATGGGAGACATATCAGCAACACAGAGCCATGTGTAAAAAGAGGCGACTTACTTAGCAATCTCTTTATGTGTTCCGCAAAGGCATCGCTCATTATCACCGCAAGCATCAGTCTAGAGATACAGGTTAGCTTGCCATTTTACACAATCAAAGAAAGACGTGCGTTTTTCGGACCAGCTTTGAGGCAGGCCTCTACTTCACTACAGTTTGCTGCTTGAGCAGTGACTCCAACAGCGGTAAAGAGGAGAACAAAAACAGAATATTTCATGATTGCTTTGGTGTATGTTTGCTGTACTTGTTAGCAAAGACAACCGCGAGGGAAGCACGTAGTACTTAAGTAGTCAGGAACAAAAGCCCTACAATGCCATCGATTGCCAGAGGCTTGAGAACCCTGGCTCTATCACTCGATCAAGAGACGATAACCTTCAGCCGCTGTTCTCATTTCAAGACGATCATTTGAGAAGCCATCATGTTGAATGAACTCAGTGGAAAGTCTGAAGTCACTGCATTCCTGAGCCCTTGGAAGCCAACCAATTGGTGCGGTGGCTGGCGGTCGAGCCCCAGATGCTTGGCGTCTTGTCCGCATTCCTCAGGAGCACCTTTCCGCATGCGTTCAGCCTCATGGACGGACACACTGGCAAACTTCACTGCTGATTATCTGAGTAGTTTAATTAAAGGAGCCATCGCTTGGCTGCAGTGCATGAAGAAGGCCCTGGGTTCTTGTTCCTGGCGTTCACGTTCACGATAGGATATGCTGGGTAACCGGCAACTGAAATACAGAGTATATCAACGTCATATGATACATACATCCATAATAATTTCAACAATCGACGGTGTTCGATCACGACTATTAGATGGTAAGGAGAAGAGCAATACCCTAGAGCATGACATGTGGCGAGTATCGTGGCTGTGCTGCACGCCACGTTTTCTCCTGTTTTTCAAGATACCAGGCGTCGATGTCTTTCAAGGCTTTCATATCATCACCGGAACCATGCTTCGCCTTATATCAACTCCGTCAGTCCTAAAGACTTACAATGCACAAACTTCCTTGTTCCCCATATCTCGCAAAAATGGGCCATCCCTCACAATATTTCGGCAATTTCAAAAGTCGATTGTGGCCCGGAAGAAGTTTCAGTACTATCCTGGTGCGAAGCCGATGTTCCCTGAAAAGGATTATCACAAAGCTGAACCGCGGAGGGATCAGGACGGAAACGTGATCTGGCCTGCCCCCAAGGGTCAAATTGAGAAAGCAAAGGATTTCCTCCGTGAATGGTCAGATGCCCCTTCTTGTTACCACGCCAATCGTCGGGATGAGAACGACACGTCTAAATGACACTTAAGCTAATCATCCTATAGTGCTGCCGCTGGTAAACAGACTCTTATCGTCCCTGATAAGGATGCCGATGGTCTTGCTGCTGGAGCTATCATAAGAAAAACCCTCATCTTGCTCGGCCTCAATTCCAAGCTGATATCGTGCTACACGATGAACAAAAACAGTTTACTACACTATGGGGATTCTCGTGCAAACATGGAAGCTTACAATCCATCTTACGTCATTGTCCTCGACCAAGGCTCATGGAAATCAGAGCCCGTTGTCGACTCACCCCATCGTGCGTTAGTCATTGACCACCATCTGGCAGAAGACGATGACCACCCTGAGGGCGCGATATTAGTTACGGCGAACAAATGCCCACCGATAGCTACAAGTTCGCTGCTGACGTATCTCATCTGCCGCGACTTACACGAAGGAGTCGAGGAATCATGTGGGTGGTTATGTGTTATGGGAACGCATGGGGATCTGGGTAATGCGACCAAATGGCGCTCGCCATTCCCGAACATGCAAGCGACGTTTGGGAAGCATACCAGAACGACGATAAACAATAGTGCAAAGCTCATCAATGCTCCTCGCCGAACTACAGCCTACGACGTCCCCAGAGCCTGGAAAACATTGATCAAGGCCTCATCGCCCATAGAGCTTGTCAAGAATAAGTTCTTAAGGGAAGCAAGGGCCGAAGTGATACATGAATTGAAGAGGGCCGATCGCGTTGTTCCCTTGTTTTCTGCTGATAAAAAAATCGTAGTGATCCGCATCAAATCGAAAGCACAGATTCATGCTCTCATTGCAGAACGACAGGCTCGTCAATTGTTTTCAAGAGAACTCCAAGTCGTGATGGTAGCGAATGAAGGCTACGCACGAGGCGTTGTCAACTATTCGTGTCGCGTTCCAACGTGCGCCAGGGGCAGCAATCCTCCTGTCAACATCCCGGAAATTCTTAGTCAAGCAGCAGATGGGGCAGACGACGATACGCTGAGAGAGCGATTGGGACCTAGGTTTGCTGTTGGTCACAGGAACGCAAGCGGCGGAATGATTCCCCAAGCTGCATTCGAGGATTTCTTGGAGGCCATCGGAGTTTCAAGCGATGAAAAGCCATCGCCTTCGCCGAAGAAGTCAGGATAAATTCAACATTCGCAGCTAGGAACCCTTGTACCCAAGCATTGGCGCCCCGTCCTACCAATTGAGCGCAATTTAATTCCAAGAATTCCTCCCTGCGATAAGCAGAATTCGGAGCCCCGACGCTGGCAAGCTTAAACCTTGAACCCCCTGTTAGCTGCCCGTTAGTGGTTTAGAAAACGCCCTGGGACCCCTTCCAGCGTTACATCATTGGAGTAAAAGGGTTCTTGGCTTGGAGCCTTGAACTAATGCCGAGTGCCGTCCTTGCTCCTCGTGTCAATGACGCAGATCCTGACCGTTTATTGAACTGTACAACCCTCCCCTGCTCTAGGAAACTTGGCCTAGACAGGAAAGTGGCTGACATCACCACCTTCAGCTGCGAGATATGGGCATGGTTTAGATCGATCTGATGTCGAACAGAAGCCTTAATAGTATTAGATTGACGAGACAGTCTGCGACATTAAATAATCGAGACCTCTATCGACAGAAACAAGCTCCTGTCGCCGTTATCTCGACAGCGACTAAAACCCCTCAATAAACGTGTAAGCGGGGTAGCGTGACCAAATAGTCCAAGATCGTCCAGTTAGACCAACCACCGGATATTACCTCTTGTAACACTATCAGCGACTTCGTATGGAATAATTGTCGGGCCGCTAAACCTTGACGGCCATGGACTTCTTTAATTACTCTGTGAATCCCATCCCAGCCTGAAGCTGAAAAAGCAGGTTCCTCACGCTTTTCACTTCTCACCTCACCTCAAGCCTTTCATCATGAGACCCAGCATCAATCTCGTTGTCAATGCCCTTTGGCTGACCAGCCTGAGCACTCCCTCTGCTGCCGCTCCCTCCAATGGCAACTATGGTCTCAAGGGTCCCGAGCTCAAGCACTGGCCTGCCAAAGCTGCCAAAGCTCTCAACAAGATGATTGCTCGCAATGCCAACAGTGGTCGCTATGCTGTCTTCGACATGGACAACACTAGCTATCAATTCGATTTGGAGGAATCACTTCTTCCTTACCTTGAGAACAAGGGTGTTCTTACGCGAGAGACCATGGACCCTGCTCTCAAGCTGGTCCCTTTCAAAGACACCAAGAAGCACAAGGAGTCGCTGTACAGCTACTACTTGCGCCTCTGTGAGATTGAGGATGCTGTCTGCTATCCTTGGGCTGCTCAGATCTTCAGCGGATTCCCTCTCGGTGAGCTCAAGGGCTACGTCGATGAGCTGCTGGCCTACAACAAGACCATCCCCACCACCTATTTCGAGGACGACAAGGTTACAGCTACTGAAGTCTCGCCTCCCAAGATCTTCGAGGGCCAGGTCGAGCTGTACAACCGCTTGATGGCCAACGGCATTAAGGTCTACGTTGTCAGCGCTGCTTCCGAAGAGCTTGTCCGCATGGTTGCTAGCGATCCTAAATATGGCTACAACGTCCCTCCTCAGAACGTCATCGGTGTATCTCTCTTCCTCAAGACCAAGAAGGGCGAGATCACTACTGCTCGCAAACAGATTGAGGATGGTGACTACACTAAAAAGACACAGAAGCAGAACCTTGAGGCTGAGATGACTCCATGGCTCTGGGCCCCAGCTACTTGGAAGTCTGGAAAGTGGGCTGCTATTCTCACCTACATCGATGAGTGGAACAGGCCTATTCTTGCTGGTGGTGATACTCCTGATAGTGACGGTCCCATGATTTTCCAGGGTGTTGATGTTGCGCGTGGCGGTATTCACCTTTGGGTTGATCGCAAGGCTGCTTACAGAGAGCAGATTGACGGCATGATCAAGAACAACACCATTGCTCAGAAGAAGGAAGGACTACCCGTTACAGCTGACAAGAACTGGGTCTTCGTGACGCCAACCGAGCTTCACTAAATTATGTTCTAGCTAACATGACTGATGTCTTAATAACTAACATGTTTTACTCTCACACCACGTTTTAACTCTGCTAATTTCCTAAGCGTACTGCAGTCTCTCTTTGGTCCAGTCTGGGCGGAGATACTTGCTGTCAAACTTAACATCGAAGCTGGATGTATGAGCGTAGTCTACCCCCCACTCGACCTTGACCTCACCACCCTGAGCGCTCTGACTCCAGACCGTAACGGCGATGGTATTTTCTCCATTGTAGTTCAGAACACCAGGAGGAACAGGGAAGGAAATTTGGTTGCCAATGTAAGGGTTGAATCGTCCGTACTGGTAGCCGTTGACAAACAGAAGAACTCTGACTTGGTTGCTGTAGCCCTTCTTCGTGGCAGAAAAGGTTGTGTTAGAAGGTGCCGTAAGCTTGAACGAGACACCGACATCTAGACCATCGGGAATATCAAGATCGACAGTCGTTCTGTAGGCACGTACTCCAGCCGAAGGGTTGACGAGGGTTCCCTGGTTGGAAGAGTATGACTTCCACTTCTTGTCAGAGAAACCGGGCAAGTGAGCGCCAACACGCTCAGCGTAGAGACCACCTTCATTGAGGGGACCACGGATGGGATCGATGACTTCGCCCTCAACGCTTCCAGCATGACCAGCAATCTTCCACTCAGAGAACTTATAACCGCCCTTGGCAGGGCCAACAAGAGTGGCGTTGGTAATACCTCGAGGATCAAGAGCGCCGTCACGGAGGTCGTGGCCAGAGTTATCCATCAGGACAACAAGAACGTTCTCCTTCTTGGACAGAGTGGCGTTCTTGAAGGAGAACTCTTGGCCTGCATGGCCAGTGGTGGCTTCGCCGAGATAAGATCCGATATAATCCGAGTTCAGCCAGACGGAATAGCCAAAGGCCATGCCGCCCGTGAGGTCAAGATAAACGCCAGTAGGGGCAGAGCTAGTGGTGGGGAAAGTCGCTCTGTAGATGTGGTTTCCGTAGTGGATTTTGTACTCGTCGACGTAGAGCACGGGGTTCTTCAGATCGGGGACGAGGACCGCGTTGGTGGTGTTCTTCTTATCAGCAACTATTCAAGGTCAGTAAGTTGAATCATCTTAGGTACCACTGTAATACGTACCAACCCAAGCCGAGGATGAAGTCTTGTAGTCGGTTTTGATCTCGGGCAAGCTGTCGGCATACTTCCAGGAATTAAGCTTGGGCAACGTGACCTTTGAAGGGCCCTTGAGCTTGATGGTGTACTTGTGCCCTTGCTTCGACGAAACCTTGACCTTCTCACCGTTCCAAGCGATGGACTTCAGAGACTCGGGAGCAAAGACAGTGATTTCGGTGGCGCTGTCGAGATCGCCCTGGATGTTGAGTTGTCCGTTCTTGATGGTGGCATGACGAACGAGGTAGGGACCATGAACCAGAACTGTGAAAGTCAATGTGCGTCTTTAACGTGTGTTGTTTCATCTGCAAAACTCACCAGTCTTGTTGACGGGCGCGAACGGGTTGTTATCCAGTGTAGGCGCCCAGAACTTGTAAGCAGTCTTTCGGTCAGCCAGAACAATGGTGGAGCCATCCTTCAGGTTGAGAGTGAAAAGACCCTTCTGCTGAGTGTAGTTGACAGTAACGCTCTTCTTGCCCGCCTTCACCTTGATGCCCTTGAGAGACTTGTCATGGCTGAGCTCGGTGTGTCCCTTGAGAGTGAACTCTCCCTGCTCGCCCTCGGGGAGCCAGAGGACAATGACTTCCTTGTTGTCGATGATCGAGTAAGTGAGGACCTCGGCAGTTGAGTAGAGGAGTGTCTTCTTGCCGAAGTGGAAGTCAGTTGGAATGACCTTGGATTGGTGGCCGTTGATAGTGACGGCGCCCTCGTTCTGAGGGATAGTGACTAGAAGCCGTTAGTATATGCGGCTTATGGAAGAATATCGAAACATACGCTTGCCCTCAGAGGTCTTGACGTGAAGCTTGAAGGTCTCTTTGGTACCCGAAGGTGAGTGATCGTGTCGGGCAACGTAGAAAGCAGCATCGTTCTCCTCATGCCGAAGCTCGGAGATCAAGATGGCATCGTTCGTGGAAAGAGAAGTACTGTTGGTAACTCGGATGGTTTTGGTAAGATCATGCGCAACTCGCGTGAAGAGAGTTAGCGACTTGGTCTCGTAGTACTTATCCCAGATAGCGCGGTTCTCAGAGATAGGTGAAGAGTAATCGTAGCTAGTTGCAACAACAGGGCAAGCAAACCAACCCCAGTTGGTTCCACCGTACATCATGTACAGAGAAATGGCGGTGGCTTGCTGTGCGAGCAAATCACGGTAGAAAATGTTGGCAAAGTCAGGGCCGATATCGCCAGGGCAACCGCCCTCTGGACCGCCCCATGGGTTGTAAGAACCGCCCTGGAACTCGGGCAAGAAGTGAGGTTGACGGGGGGATTGCTTGTTGAAGTAGGTGACATAGTCTTGGATGTTGTAAGGGACATATTCGCCGTTGGTGCCGGTGCACTCGTCGAGGTTGCAGCTCCAGCAGGAGGGGTAACTGTCGACACCAGTGACATCGACGTTGCCGGTTGCATTGCGCTCGAAGTCGTTGGACCAAGAAAATGTGCGCTGCCGATCTGTCAATATCTATCCACAGGGCTGTATTTGGAGAGGTAGAACTTACAGTGTTAGGCGCGTTGTGGAATACAGGAACATCAATGCCGGCCTTTCTGGCGGACTCCTTCAGAAGTTGCATGTAGTTGGCAGTAGGCTCGTTCAGGATTCTCTTGTCGTCATTCTTCCACTGACCGCCCAGCTCGTTCTCAATCTGCACTCGTCAGTTTAGTCTACGACTCACAACACTACAAACATACCTGGAACATGGCAACATTGCCGCCATTGGTAATGAGATGCGGCTCGATAATCTTGGAAATCTCAGTCCAATACTTAGACCAAGCCTTAGTGTATCTAGGATCATCGTTTCGAAGCTTGCCGTACTCTCCGGTGGTGACCCACAGAGGAAAACCTCCGGCGTTAGCCTCGGCATTGACGTAGGGACCAGGACGGATCAGGAGGTAGAGGCCGAGCTCCTTGGCAAGGGTCATGATGGACACAAAATCGTGGGCGCCATTTTCAAAGTCGAGGACGCCTGGGGTCGCTTCGTGGTAGCCCCAGCTGTTGTAGATGCTGAAGGCTGTGAAGCCAGCGGCTTTGATCTTTTCGAGCAAGTCGCGCCAGAGTTCGGGCCTGATAAATGTTAGATTCGCGCTTGATTTGCCAAGGGGGTAAAACTTACACAGGCAGACGCCAGTAATGGAATTCGCCCGAGAAGACAAAGATCCTCTCGCCATTGATCAGGTAACTATGGTCGTCCCTGTTTTGTTTGTTAGCTGGATGTCTCAAAGGCGGCAATCGAGTGAATCACCATTCAACAATGTTTGTGAGTCCATTGTCTTGAATTGGAACATCTTTCGTCTCTTGTCCAATTGACAAACCAGCCAAGGCAAGCAGCCCGACAGTTGAAAGCGAAAGCAACTTCATCGTGACTTGCTATGCCGACCAATCTCAAGCTCGCGTGAGCAGCATCACCCAGAACTTATATACGCGCATTCAATGCCACCATAAAAGTCATCTCGGTCACTGATGACCCGCATTACATGACATGACATAGCTCCCCCACCGCTCTCACTCCCGAATCGTGTCGATCAAAAAGTCTGGGGGCTCGGTGGTGCTCTTCACCGATGAATTGAACTGAGGGGTACGATGGATCAGCCGGAGAATATAACGCGTCAATGGGAATTTCGCCATGGGACGGTAGCGTTGCAATGTCAATTCTTAGACGAGAGTTTATTGCATCTGATGACATTTACTCCATGTTTTCTCCACATTCACCCGCATTTCTATTGACGCGGCTCTGGTAGTCCAAGTGTCATTTTACGTGCATCGGCCCTATTAGCCCTGTTGGTCAACGCCTTGCTTCCCGACCAATGCCATCGTCTCACACCTTGACTGATCAAGCAACTCATAGCCCGAATTGCCGTTATTCCATGCGATGGCATCTTTCGATGCTGGACAACCGGGGGGCAACCGGTAAGTGCACAAACTTTTCCTAACGGCTTTCTTGGCTGCCTCGGAGCTTGTTGCTGGACTGATCTGCTGCAGTTGTGACGGTCAGGATGCCGTCGTCCGATACACCCAGAAAGCGCCATGATCGACAATGCGCTTGACGGCGTAAGAATCCTCTATCGAGATCATGTATCGGCAAGATCTAAGCTTAATCGACTGGCACATTGTGTTGCAACAGATCATCCCCATATGAAGACAGCTGCAGGTACACATGGTAACGTCAAGGACGGATTGGGCCTCATGTGTCACCAAACCTTGCATCCTTCAGCATGCCATAGAGCGATTTTGTACACCCAGGTGTGGTTATTGAGATCCTAAAAGTACTGCCGGCCTACTACTAAGCCTGGGTAATGGATTTGTGCTTCGAACATGTTCGTTCCATCAACTGACCATCACATCCTTTTCAGTGCACTTATTCGACTCTCGCGGCACCTCGCAAACCAGCTGATATCTCTCATCCCATCAAATCCATGGGGCAGCCCCGGCCAAAGATGAAACTCGACTTCAACATGCTCGTTAGCCAATCTCTTTGCATACTCCAGATTCTCATCCCTAAACAGATCGAGACTTCCCACATCAATATAAGTGGAAGGCAAACCTCGCAGCGTTTCAGCCCGAGCTGGTATCGCGTAAGATAGGCCTTGAGGATCATCCTTCTGTCGAACCTCAGAGGCGTACGCATCCCATACAAGTTTGGCGCCGTCAGGCTTCCAGACCATGAGGTCAAGGATAGGATCGTCTTTCTCAACATGATCTCTGTCGTCTAACATCGGGTAGACGAGCAGCTGCTTCGCAATCGGAGGATCAAGCTGCCGATCTCTCGCCATCAAAGCAAGGCCCGCGGCGAGTCCTCCACCAGCGCTGTCGCCGTGCAGAGCGATCTTCGTGGGATCGACGTTGAGCTCTGCTGCAGACTTCAACACAAATTGAAGAGCCGCATACCCATCCTCGACACCAGAGGGAGCAGGATGTTCCGGCGCCAGCCGGTAAGACACCGCGAAGTATGGAAGTTTTGAATCATTCGCGAAACGAGCGATTTGAGGCGCAAACAGCTCCACGTAACAAGAGACGTAACCACCGCCGTGGAAGTACATCACAGCCGGCGTGGGCTTGTCCGAAGCCAACGTCTCCTCAGAGGCAAACCGGGTGATTTGAATCTCGACTCCATCATAGCTTTTGACTTTGAAAACGGTCTCCTTCACGCCATCAGGGCACGGAGAATTCGTGACGACTCGCCGGATGACATCTTCAGTACTCTTCCTGATCTCAAAAACACAACTGGATGGCTCGGGCTTGGGTCCCTTGATAACGGGCCCGAGAGCTTTGAGGTATTCAGCATCATATTTCAAACCAGTCATAATGGGCGAACCAGATTTGAAGGTAATTGACAGAGACCAACGAGGGCGAAGTATGACGATTGCGTTCAAGTATAGGCAAATAACTTTAGGCTATATGTGTATATCCCGCAACTGGCTGACAGGCTGACTCCGCAGTCTTGACCGAGCCGCTTGTTCAAAACAATGTCCGTGGCCTGATATTTTTGGATCGAGAGGATCACTCAATATCCGGAACGGGAGACTACAATCATTGGTCGTGTCGATAGATCCGATTGGAAAGGATTCCTTCAACTTTTTGCAATCTGCATTCTTGATCGATTAACGATGTAAGACCGGCTAAAAGAAACGGCGACGACTAGCCAATAAGCCAAGCTGCCTCAGCAGGGAGATGACTCCGAATATTACCAATCAGGTATCCATCTGTCAATGTCAAGCATCATCCAACTCATGCCAGTCGTCCCAAAACACTGCTGCGTTATGCTTGCCTCTTTCTCCGATACCCCGACCCTTCTGGGCCACGAGGTTGAGCTTCAACTTATCAAAAGAAATCTCAATCTTTCCATCCCCGAGAAACTTCGCCCAGCCATAGTTTTTGTCCCCTCGGAATATTTTGAATTTGTTGGACGTTCTCTTGCCCGCCATCTGAATGGCACTTTGCGAGTCGAAGCGTCTGTTGGACATTTATCGAAGATGAAGAGTGCAGTGTAGTTCATTCGGCCCAAACTGAGATAACCACGCAGTGTCCCACCATCTCCTGGGGAGAGGACTATGCTGCAGAATTCGTCGTGGTTCCGTTGAGACTCGTCATCACAGCAGGCGTAAAACGTTTCGATGGCGTACTTTCCTTTCAAGTTTCCCAAGGGCTTTGGAGGCGGCATTGCAACTTGTGAGTTCTCTGACTTGACTGTCGTTGATGCCTTCGCTTTCTTAGATACATGCTGCTTAAGGGTTCCGTCTGATTTTCTTTTCTTGGTGGTGGTTGTCTCGGCCTTTTTCTTGATCTCTCTCAACCATGCTCGATGAAGCTGGGGACGGAGACCGTGGAAATGGTCTGGTAGCGCGCTCTTGGAGTTGAAGTGATCAAAAGCCTCAAGGACCCATGCATTTGCCCGTACAGGGGTCGGGGGAATCTTCCATAATCTCATATGCGCTTGAAGCCATGTTGGAACTTGAAAGTCAGCACCCGGGATGGCCGCTGGTGCCACAGAAATTGTTGCTGATTGAGATGTACGACTTGGTCGAAGGGTCGCAGACGCGTTGGACTGTGTCTCAATGGAAGGATAGGGAGCCGCAGTGGCTGTCGGCTGGGTAGACGCGGACGCCATGACGCTCAAAACGCAGGCTTGTGTAACGAGTTGGCCTAGTGCTGTTTTGACTCAATTGCGGGAGAAGACAGAAGCTGATGAGGTTGTGATGAATTAAAAGAATGCGTTTTCTGTTCCTTACTGGCTGCACCAGTCTATCCCATTTGAGCTTAGCGGTCACTCGCCCCTTGCTGGATTAGCCTAAGATGTCAACGAGAGACTGGCCCGCAAGACATTTGCGCCATCACGAATAGAGCAAAAGCATATCCGCCATCACGGCAAATACTTCAAAAAATACATACAACAGCGGGGATTCGCTGGTCGTCACCGACCCAACTACTAATCCACCCCTTACAGGCTTGACGATGGGAGAGCGGACGGGATCCCGTATTTTCCTATAGGTATGGTCGTATGTGACATCTACCGACGGCATCACGGTTCATACGCTTTCCGGTTGATGGAAATGCCGGGGCTGTTACACTAAATCCCTGTGAACATGTATGCGGGTCTCAATGTGGTCTAGGAGCCCCGTAAAGAGCCCAGCTAACTCCCGGGATGAGCATTAGAAGAGATTAAGAGTTTGTTTTCAAGTTCTGGATAGTTGGTGTACGAGAATGAAAGAAGGAGCACAATTTGTAATGTAGACTTTAAGCATTGAGTTGGCGTTGAGTCTAGGAATTTCAAAGACATATTTCTCGAAAAACAAGTCTTCAATGACGCTTCCTTCAACAGCCTATCAATCAACACTACTTAGAAGGGAAGAGGGCGAATCTGCATGGGCTGGTTCTCGCCTGCAAAAGTCGTGTCAGTCCTCATGCATATGAAGACAGGAGAAAGGAAACATACCTGGCATAATGGGGGCATAAAGCTTGTCCTGGATGAATGCCAGACCAGCCCCTATTACGTGTTGTCAACCTCAAAACTGCTAAGGCCACCGTGCGATATATCATACCTGAGAACTTGAGCTCGGGAGGGCCGCCATACTCCTCGACTTGAACTGGCTGAAGTGACTCGACCTCCTCTCTCCTGCGCCACAAGACGCGCTTGGGCATCATGGATCGGTCCTCATAGTTGAGGCGGCCCAGAACCCATTCGCCAGAGAATAGTCGACCGTCTCGAAGCTCAAAGGTGGCAGCAGGGTCGCCAGGCTGAGCTTGGATCATGGGCTCGCCGTTGTCTTGAGGATTTCCGACGGGCTTTCCGTCGACAATGATCATGAATCTTCCGGGAATAGACATGTTGGATAGTAGTTGGTTTGTAGTGATTGAGTAGAATGAAAGATGATTTGAGAGGTGGTGATTCTAGTTGAGTAGCTGGGATGCAATGTGCTATTTATATTACTTCAAAACTTCATCACGTGTCGAGGTCTCTGCGTTGCTCCTGCCAGTATCTCCAAGTATAGCTCAAGGTCGGATCTTTCTCGGAGGATCTACACGCCATGAAAGAATGTCTTGAGTGGCATGCATTGAAGCGTCAAGATCTACAGGCGAAATTGCTGCCGATGAAGCTGAAACCACAAGTAATGCATGGTTCGGGTAAGAAGATATAAGACTGTTGACTCAAATGAAACAGAGAGGAGGTGTTGGTTCGATATCAACCTCCCACCATCCCATCACCAAAACCTATACAGATCCCGAAAGCCTGAACGTACGTGTCAGTTTGTGTATTTCAAGTGCAATTTATTGCTTTGAATAACAGCACTACTGACTCAATATGTCGGATTGAGTCTATAGCCATGGTTTCCGTTACCATATCGAGGGTTCGCTGTTGGTCTGATCGAGCCCCCCAGCCGCAGCTATGTCAATCTCGGATCTGATCTGTCTTCAGATGTCTCTCCCATCTCAGACAGCTCCCTTGCTTCGCCAGTACAGTACATACAAGGCTTCCCTGCGGAAACTCAAGGCTCAACAAGCTCATTGCCGTAAGTAGCGATGATCTGCTAAGGCTGATTGATCGACCGGTTTTCCAAGACAGATCTCAGTTCAGCTTCGAAATCGAAAACACTCCGGCTCCCCGGACGATCACGTATTGGACGAACGCGAGCCGGTACGGCACGGAGGCGGGCCTTCCCACAGGAAATAAATATGGCCATTCTAGTGATGACTTTATCGAGGCATCTACCTACGAAAGAGAAGAGAACACGACAGGAAGACTCAGGTAAATCCAACACTGATTCAGTGGAAACCAGGCCCGATATATTTTCATGGAGAGCTGAAGTTCTCTTGCTCCATGAGGGAATGTACATAGCTTCAGGTCTGGCTCAAGCAACTTTCTTCACACTTGAGATCTTGGATGTCTCTTGGGGCAATAGCCAGGGTCCAACTGAGATTCGCCAATGGATGTTTGCTCGTGATCCCGTGTCTCACAATCTTGGTATCTCAGAGTCATAGACGTCATAGATGAGGTTTCTATGTGTTACTTAATTGGCCTGGAGCCAAGATCTGGAATTGATGCCATGTCTCAGATATGTCTCAAGGATATGTCAAGATTTCCAGCGAATGGCTTCGCATATGATTGGAGACGCTTGTACCTGGATCCCGCACCTCCGGCGACCTAGTACGAAGGGAAGACTGAGTTGGGGTACGACATGGTAATCCCTTTATGCTCACGGACAAGCGCTATCCGAGATATCGAGGGGCTGGCACACACGCGTGATACCAGTAGCGACGCCGAACTTTTCTCCGGGACGCATAGCTACTATTGTTCTCTATACGGCCTTGAGTACTAGAAACAGGTCTGTAAAAGCTTAAGCTGAGCTCTTCCTACCTAGTAGGAAGATCGTGATCACGTTCGCATTTTGAGCCAATGGCCAAGAAGCAATTCTCCGAAAGTATCTCCGTTACTTTCCAGAACAAGATACAACTCCGATGACAGAATATACTACCAAAATGAGCGATGCGACTATAATTTTGTATAAAAGAAGTATATTGAGATAGTAGTCTGTAGAGAAAGTCTTCGGTATAGTATCTTATTCTTGATCATCTGCCCATCATGCTCGGCTCTCTCGTTGTCCTGCTTCTTGCGAGCCTGTCCATCGCCTCGCCAACCTTGGAGAAGCGAGCTATTACATGTCTAAAAGTTGGCCAAACTGCCACTGCCTCGTGGACCAACAGTGCCGGGAAGAAATGCACTTTTACGGGCGTTGTTGGTAGCAATTACGGCGCCAATCCTTCCGGATCAGGAGAGTGAGTTTTGCAGCTACCCTCCTCTTCAAGAAAACAATACTGATTCGAAAAGTTACTCTTGTAACGGAAGATGTGGAGCCGGGTGCAGCGGCACTGCTATTGGCAACGTCTATACACAAGATTGCTTCTCTCACGACATCTGCTCGTACTTCAACTCCGCTTCCGGAGGTGCCAGGTAAGTTTTCTCTTAAAAGGGTGGAGAGTGGATGTTAACCTTGATAGTGACCCCAACTGCGGAGCTGCTTACAATGCGGCTGTCGATGATACTGCTTTAGGTTTTGCGAATGGTTGCAGCCAGACGAACCCAAGCAACAGTGTTGCCAAACCTAATAGTGCTCCGGTTTGCACATAAAACGGCTCACACTTTTCCCAGAGGATCAGCTAGGACCTTCCAAGCTATGAACCATACTGTTCAAGTCAGCCGTTGCCTATAAAATACATGGTCATTATTTAATGCACTTGTTGCGTGGCTGTATTGAAACTGTTGTATCTAGTGCATGCAACGAGTCTTTGCCGATATTCCTTCTCTGTTTAGGCATATGGCCTCGTCCATAGAACTCTGCACTTTGTTTTTCACTTTTAATCCATTCGGACTTTCCAGAGGTGTCATGCAAGTCAGACTATTGGCTTCCTTACCCAAGGTTTTGCTTGTGAACTGAGAATCAGCCATTGCTATGACTTCCTTCGTTTACTTTCAATTCTAAAGTAGCTTCGTAACGACCATCGAGAACCTCAAAAGTTGTCCATCAGTCATATGCAGCTAATGCGGACTTGAAGAACGGTGACTGGGTTCACTCTGAAATCCGAGACGACGGACGACATCTTCATGCTGACTTGGCCTGGCATCGATCTGATTCGTTCGCTGACCGATAACCCCTGTTCATACCCATGCATCTGACCCCAGAGAATGGCAATAACCCTGTAACTGAGGACGGCTCCAAAGTCCTTGAAGCGACCTTTGGAGGAAGTAAATTGAAAAGTGGTGCATGATCGACATCCATCATGCACAGAATCTGACCCAGCAAACCAGATTTCAATATTTAAACCGACTGTTTGTTCACAGTTAGATTCTTAAACTTCTTTCATTAGATCCCTAGCCTCAGAAAACTCTGTATTCTCAACATGCCTTCGACTCAGTGCGATGCCCAAGTACAAGCCCAGGACTCCGATACTAGTCGCAGAGCTCAATGGGCAGCCATCAGCAAACACCAAGCTGAGCTCAGCGATATTTTGGGAAAATTGGCGCACCATCCCTCCTACAACGGGGTCTTCTCCCTTGGCAAAGATGGCATTCTGCGCTCGCTGGGCCCCGGCCGCGATGTTCACGATGCAGTCCCTTTATCGCCTCATTTGATCAAGGCGCTTCTCGACCGTCTGCCTTTCCGCCCTGAGAATGAGATCGATTTTCGTGGTGTCGATGGCAGAAACACGCCCAAGGAGCAATGGTATCATCCCGACAAGGGTTTGTTGCCTCCGCCTCTCGTTCAGACGGAAGAACAGAGGAAGTTGATTGAATCGAAGAGAGATGAAACAAGGAGAAGGCTGGAGGAGGCGAAGACGAGGCCGCGTTGCCCGCCCCAGATCATGTCGGACCACGATCTAGGGTTGAAAGAGTCATCATCTGAAGATGCATCTTAAGCCTTCGATACAACACAGGTCCTCGGAGGCGGTCTACATGGGAGTGACCAGAGTCAAAGTGCTGCCTGTCATCGGAAAATATAATTGCCATTTTGTCGGCAGATACCGAAACATACATGGCTTATCCCGCTTCTGAACTCCAATTGAATGGGATAACAATCTTGGCTGGGCAACGAAAAGGCATGACTGCTCAGCCGCAATCGTCAATTTTCGATCAGTGACATACATTGGCTGTTAAGTTGGGTGCTAGGGCTGAAATAAGAACGGAATGTGCCATGACTAACTAAAATGCTTAGCTCTTCAGCTGGTCTCGCGGCGGCCTCTTGTGGCGTGAACTATTGAAGCTATTCTCAACATGAAGCAAAGCATAATTTCGGTAGTCGACATTGGAACATCTAAGCTTAACCTGCAAGCACAAATGATCAGAAAATCTCCAGGGTTCATCGTAACTTTTAAGTGGAATGACAACTGGTTTTATTGCTGACAGCTCTCGTATAGAGCTGGAGACACGTCGGGTCTCCCGTGGTGCACTAACGAAGGTGAAGCTATTTCTGTACACGACAGTTGTTTCTAGCGCTAAACACAGCCCCCAGATGGTAAAGCTGGCGCCTGAGTGGCTGGCCTAACAGCACAGCTGCAGGGCTCCGATGGTCTGGACCAGCAAAGCCACCGACAGTGCCACCACCTGAACCAGCAACAAGGTTCAGAGATCAAGGGAGGGAGCTTAGCTCAGGTATAATAAACAAGCTTCTTTCAGCTCGAGCTGGAATCTTCATTTTTTGCAGATCTCTCACGATACTCCTTGACCATTTGCAAGAAGTTGAGGTTGAAGATATCTTGAACACGACACGGACGTAAAGGTTACATCCGCCAATAACCGTCGACATGCGTTTCGCTGGCAGCCTCATCCTTGGCCTTTTGGCAGTAAACGGCCTGGCTCAAACAGTCATTCCTGATCAAGACGCAGAGCCTTCGGCTATCGCTCAACCAGAACCATCAGCGCCTGCTGCTGAGCCCTCAAATCCTGCCCAAGACCAACCCTCAGATGCTGGCGATGACGGAGACGCACAACCGACAGATGCGGATAGCGTCCCATCTGCCACAAATGGCCCAGAGCCAACAGCCGTTGAGCCATCAAATGAAGCTTCCCAAGCTTCGGGCGACGAACAACCCACCGCGACGGCGAGCGATGACGACGAGGACGTCTCCACAGCCGAAGGTACAGCGACAGCAGATGGTGAGACCAAAGCCGATGAGCTTCGCAGACACCCAAGCTAACAGTGATTGAAGCTACTGCCACAGATGCCGACGTGACAGCTACAGCGTCCGAGACCAACGACGATGACTCGACCGACACTGCCACTGCGACAGCTACATCCAGCTCTGCCCCTACAAGCACAGGCACCGTAGTCGAAGTCGATCTCAAGAACGCTACAATTGGGGAAAACGCTCAACTCGTCAAAGTTGATGGCAAGGACGCCATGTAAGTCCCCAAGGCTTCCCGTGTCCCCTAACTCCACTAACTTTCGCCCCAGTAAATTGAGCGCACCCGCCAACGGCCAAGCAACCTTCAGCGTCGCCGTCGACAGCGACGATGAATTGAACACGGATGAGCTCATCTACATTGTCGCATCGATTCTTGTCGGCGAGCCAAGCAGCGCGAAACTCCGACGACGAGCCGAAAAGACCGATTGTACACTGCAGATCCAGGCTGACGGGCAGAACGTCTATGAGGAACCGCTGTATACCAACAATGGCCAGTTCCAGGACGTTACCAGCAGCGGCATCCAGTCTTCGGATAAGCCCGAGGTGCAGGTCACGCAGAAGTGTGGCGACAAGCCATCGCCTCTGACTGTGAACAACGTTCGTGTTGGAAACGAGAGTGGCGTCAAGTCAAGCGCTGGCTCTGGAGGCTCGGGCAGTGGTGGAAGCGGTAGCGGAAGTGGAAGTGGAAGTGGAAGTGGCAGCGGTGGAAAGGGCGGCAGCGGTGACAAGACTTCCACGGCGACGGGTGCTTCAGCGAGCGAAACTGGCGACTCCGGTAATATCGGTGCTAGGACCAAGGCCAGCGTCGGTGCTCTTGCTGCTGCTATCCTGGCCGCTGCCGCCATGTTTTAAATGGACACATCCATTTGGTTGACATCAAGATTGCTTAGCGGGCATGGGACGCGGACATTGGGAACTAGATTATACGAATCATTATTCACGACAATACTAATTATACATAATTGACTAATCGTATATACGGCCAATTCTCGCTGTTCAATTGTGCGCGTTGCCAAACCCTCCATCATGTAGTAATTCCTGCGACCCTCTTGTCGTCATCGACCAATTCTTTATAACGGGCGGCGCTTCGCTGTCGGAGCAATTTACCAAACTTGATCATGACGAAGCAAGCGGAGCAAGCGGGCAAAGCGATAAACGCAGCTGAGATGAAGCAATTCTGATAGCCCATGTTGGTTATCCAAGGCGTGATGCTGTTGGCTGTTAGTGGCTGCAGATCTCCTCAGCGGACGGAAACTTACCCATAACTAATGGCAAAAGACATCGTGTTGCGAACCAAAATAATCGTAACCATCGCATCACCGCTGAGCTCATAGTAGCTATCAATCAAATAATTTATACTGATGATGAGCCCCATGACACTCGTCACTGACAAGGTGCACATGGCGAAAATGAGGCCGAACCAGTGAACGCCGTGTTGCGCGCCTACGCCCCAGAGGATCAAGGATGCCGGAACGCCAATGACACAAATCGCCAGCGGCCACAAACGATGCTCAGCTTCCATGATACCGTTATTGCGACGCGCAAGTTTGATAGTAAGCCAATCGCTCAATCGTCCTGCGAGAATGGCAGCGATGATGGTACCGAGACAGCAGGAGAGATAGCTCAGTCCAACCATTGACGGCTTGAAGCCATACCCGGGGCCTGACAGAATGATGGATGCTGTCGCATTAAGGACGTTGAACCAGATTAGGTACGATCCGTACGAGAAGCCAGCGAAAAAGATGACAGGCCAACCGAGGTACTGAAGCGAGCGTCCAGCGTGACGAGCCATACTCTGGCTTGGTGTAGGTTGCCAAAGCGACAACTTCTGCAAGTACGTTCTCGGTTTGGCATATTGGACGTTCGCCTCATCGGCTTCTCTGACCTCAGATCTTCCAGTGTCGGCTGGCTTTTCTTCAGCCTTGCCGTTGTTCTCATCGCTCAGTCGGGATGGACTGATTGGCAGATGGTCAGCGCGTCGTACGGCACGATTGTAATTGGTTTCTTCCATGAAGAAAAAGAGAAACACGAATACGAATGAGAGGAAGATAGCGGGCCAGTAGAACACCCATTGCCAGCCTTGATACTCGGCGATAAAGCCACAGATTACCGGCGCGAAGTAGTTGCTGCCGGCCAGAGCGAGAGCGTAGATACCCATGTAGGTTCCACGTTGATGAGTGAAGTACTGGACAGAGTCAGTCGCAAGCTTGCAATAATACCCTGAGGCAATACTTACGATGTCAGTGATCGAGATCTCAGGCAAGGCTTCAATGGGTGCGATGAAGAAGCCCTGGATAATGCATTTGGCGATCCATTCTCCGTTGCTTGAGACGTATGCGCTGCGACCAGTTAGTAAGGTCATACACCAGTATCGCATCACTGAAAAGTATTACCTCCAAACACTTGTGCCCTGATAACAGCTGTTAGCAAACGGTCGTGGTGAATGCATAGAGATTGACTTACAATGGCTCCAAGGACAGACAAGAGGTAGGTCAAACGCTTGCCATATCGCAGCGAGAAAGGTTGCCAAAACAACAAACCCCAACCCAAAAGAAGGTACATATATCCAGTTCCTTCATTGAGCGTCTTGATTGAGACCTTGGACTGCTGCGCAAGGGGGACAAGGACTGAGTAAACAGTGGCAACAGACATGCCTGTGAACCAGGTATACCTTTACAAGTCAACAAAGGAGACACGTATGGAGAGAAGAGGGACTCACAGGTTCTGACAGATCAACGCAAGAATTTTGCGACGAGGAGTCCAATTGAGAGGATCCTCTGGGTCGTCACTTGGCACAGGATCAAGGACGATGCCGCCGTCACCACCTCCTGCATGACGAACACGCAGGTTGCGATTGAGGTCAACAAGATAGATAGTCCCAGGAATGGGAGGTTCCACTACCGAGGTCACCATCTTGTGCTGTGTCGGTTCGGGCGAAGGCAATCGAAGTGTACAAAAAGAAGGTGGCCTAAGGGGAGGGTCGTAAACCTTGTTCAATTCGGGTACTAATGGACGGGGAGGCTCTACGCGACGTCTTATATGCTCAATCCCCGCATCTGTGTCACCAGAAGAAGACGGGGGAATCAGCAATAGCAGCGGTGCGACACGGCGTTCACTGCCTGGTAGGTATATTAGGTCGGACATGGTTGCTGTTGCTGTTGGTGGTCGAAGCTAGAAGAACAATGGAAACGCCGCTAAGGATTGTTCTGCGATGCGAAGGGTCCTTGGGACATGTTGGTGGACGTCTCGCAGATTATTCCAACTGGTCACCTGAAGCTTCTGGGAGCCAAGATTGATCGGTTTGATACAGTTGAATCTCAACAATGGGAATTTGGAGGATGTTTGTGTCGGATTGGGTTGTCTGGGTGGTCAGAATTGAATGGTATCATGAGCCAACGACTAGCTTGCAAGACAGCTGTCGACTGGAGTTTGTTTTGTCCCATGGTCCGAGCTTTACTTTTGCTGGGCAATCAGCAGTGCAAACAGCTGAAGAATAGGACATCGAGCAAGGAGTAAGGAGCCCGAGGTTCGAGAACTGCTAGGCCAAGACTTGACATATATCAGCTGGATCATCACAACTGCACCATCTCCTCATTGTCCTTCTCGCCATGGTTTCCTGGCGAATCTACTATCACACAAACACATCCTTCGACCATGACTTTTGCCTCTTCTTCTGCTTCAGTCACCCCATCAGGGTCTTCCAAGGACTCCTCAAGTGTCACCACCCACAGCTT